TTTTTGAGACTGCAAGAGCAAAGGGGGGAAGTTGCATGCTTGTGACATGCTTACGTAGTTCAAACTCACTTTGTGATCATGAAGGAAGAAGTCCCAGATCTTGGCTGTTTTTTCCCCCTCATCGCTATTCACCTTTGAAATTCAATGACTTAATGCTGTAACCCCAATAGAATTATTTTCCATCAGAACTTATTATTTGGTGTTTGCACTGGAGTGGTTCTTCCTAATGTACTAAAACAGGCCTTTATTGGTAGATAGAGAACTTATTTCTCCTCAATGACTGAAATCCTACACAGAAATCTAACTTTGCCTTGTGCCTCTGTAGGATGCCAAACAAAAATTAAATCTGTGAGGAATCTCGTCCAAAACTGTTCACATGCTCTTCTCTTTTGTACTGATCACTTGTTGGTGAACAATGCAGTAGCTCACTAATTGGCTCCGTCTATCAAGAAAATGGAATACAATTTGCTGGATCTTGGGTGGAGAAACAGCTTTTGTGTCAAAATTTAAAGCTGGCTCAATTCTCTGTTTTAACTTGGCCTGTAGTATGTTGGACCAGTGTGTATTGCTGGCAGTGAAATTCATCCTACTCTGACCCTGAATTCCCACTGCCAATCCTCCTTCTGGTATATTAACAAATTCTGCTTCATTTCTCCTCTATAGGATGCAAAAACTTGTGAAACCATCACCTGATAAGAAGTATGTGGATTTGACAGTATCATTTGCTCCGGAGACTGATGGAGAGGAAGACTTGCCAGGGCCCCCAGTGAGATACTACTTTGTTCAGGAAGACAATTGACAGTAGAGACACCGAAAGTCACTCATGGACCATTTGTTCTCAAAGGAGTGTGCTAATTTTCAGCTGTTAAAGATGGTACTATGTATTTCTTTTTGGTGAAGCCTTAATTAAATGGTGAAAATCAGTGGCTTTGCACTGAAGACAAACTGGATTTATGTTTCTTCTGCTTCTGTTTTCTTCAAACCTGTTCGCTTAAAGGAGGATTGGTCACTCCGTGAGGTGGAATGTCCAGTACAGTCCTTACCCTAAAGACAAGATTTGTATTGATTTGTGGGGAGCTGAAGAAAGCAAGAAGAAGGGTGAACCTAAGAAATGGTCCCCATGTGCAAATTAGGCACTGCTTAGAGAAGAGTGCAAAAGTGGGGAAACCAGGTGTTCTAAGAACATCATAAATCCATATCATATGTTATTTAATTCTTAAACAAAAATTTAATTATTGCCATAAACACATGAGATTTAATCCATCCAAAAGGCTTAGATTTCCACTTAAGAGCAGACAAACTGCTTTATTTTGTGGTTGGTTAGTGGTGCTGTGGCCAGAGCAGCTATCTTGTGTCAGTCTCAACATGGAAACACAGGGAACAGGTGTAAATTGTCAAAACTCCACTTAAGTCCAGAGACCTGGAATTGTTGATTATCTGCACTGAGACTGTTCTTTGCAGAATACTGCAGTATGGGGAAAGTAAAAACCTATCGGAGAGCTGAATTAGCACTTTCAACAATAAAACTCTGACTTCAAGAAAGAGAAAATGTGATTGAGCCTTTCTGCCCTCACCGAATTAAAATCACTATAGCACATGGTGACTGTAAAGGGAGGAAAAGGCAAATGTCTCTGTGGATGTTTGTCATACCAAGCTCCTTTTGGTACCATTTCCTTATAGCAGATGGTTGTGCTGTACACATGTCCACAGCCCAAGTCTGACTTGCACTGAACACAGGTTTTTATCATCATCAGTCAGTTTCTAGGATATTGAAGTATAAAGATTCTGTTTGATTCAAAATCATTAGGGACTAGATTTTCTGTGTGGTACAGAAATGTCATCACTTAACTCTGTCATTTAAACACCAGGTACTTAAGCTGATAGTTCTTTCTCCCCGCCATAGTAGAGCAAGGCAAGGTTAGAATACAAACCTATAAGCTGGAACTTGTACATCAAGATGTATGGAACTGAATATCTGAAATCAATATAATTGTTTCAGTATTTTGGATTCACTCTTATGTGTGTGATGTCTTCTGGAAGGTGTATATAATTTTACAGTCAGTCTACTTTATAGATATAATTTTCTCGATTAATAATACTGCTTTTTAAACTACCTGACTTCATTTTTTTATGAACTTCTTTTAGGGAAACTCTTTGAAACAGGAGAAAAGGTGGGTAGATTTAGAGTGCAGAAGAATCACAAGCAGACAGTAAGTTTCCACTTTTAATAACTAAAATGTGTTTCAGTGTGGCAGTATTAGAATCTGAACTCTTAACTGACGTCAATATTTAGTGCTAAGGATCACTTAAAGGTTTAAATCAAGTTGAAAGCACTGTCACCTCTCACGCTTGGAGACTGAGAAACAAATGAAACTTTGAGGAAGTATACTCTGGTATGTTAGTGTGGTGTTAACATCATGCTTCTGCTTTTGAAATAAGCAGCACATAAAAATAGTAGAGTCCCAGTACATTTTTAGAATGCCCTAGGACTGTCCTCAGGGTTTAAAGTAATCTTTCAGATACAATTAATAGAGTGGCTTTTCTTAATGACAATGCATACGACTTTGACACCCTTGTCAAAAAGTGCAGGTCAGGGCTGGCTGGGATCACAGCCAGAATTTACAGACATGGCTGTATCTCTGTGCTGCTCTTACTGTGTGTATCTGTTGGATGAGTATCTGTTCTATGAATGGGTTCTGCCCAGTTAAAAAGTTGCTTGTGGAAAAATTGAAAATGCACAATGGCTCTAGATGATTATTAGCAGATCTTTAAAATTTTTGGATATAAATTATTTTAGGTAAAATCTTAAAACTAATAACTTCAAGATGACTTCTATATAGAAGAACTGTGCATGACAAGTGGCTCATTAAAACTCGTTCACGTTTTAAACCTTTTTGAACTGCTGATACAGTGAATGTATTTATATTGAAGGTTGTGCAGTGGAGTGGTCTGATTCAGTGTGAATTTGTATTTGATACAGCCCGTTTCTCAATCTGTTCCTGCTTTTTATCAAAAGTCTCAGGAGATGCTCAGCATGATGACACCAAAAGGATTCAATCAAGCTGGGAAAGTGAATTTTGCGTTGCTGGGCTTCCAGATCTTCAGTATTGTCACTACCAGTGCTACTAAGCTACCTGAAATCTGAGAACTGCTTTTTCTCTTTGGTGTGTTTTTGTTTGTTTGTGAGGTTTTTTGTGGTTTGGTTTTGTTTTTTCTTCATTGTAATGAAAGAGTGTGTTTGTCTAGGACCATTTGATTCTCTATTCCTGTGGAGCAGCTAGAGCTAGCTTTCTTCCTGCAACATTGAAGAACTATCTTTCCACTGGAACACTTCGAATAGCTTTCTTTCAAAATGTTATTCTTTGAAGGAGCAGTTGATTTTCAGGGATGAAGTTTTATATCAGCATTGAAGATCTTTCTTGCTCAAATGCTTTCTTGAAGAGTTTGCTCACATTTACACTCGCTTTCCCTGACTTTGTAGCATTCTTAATATAGATGCAGGAATATTTGTGCATGCAAAGCACGAGGCACTTAGCATCCTGCTCAGCTGTTCTCTGTGGTTAATCAAGGTGTTTCTTTAATGTTAGAAGTAGTGAGGATTTTGTGTGAAGATCTGGCTACTTGTTACCAAGACTGCTTTGGTGGATCTGATGGATTTAGGCTTTATTTACCTATACCACGAGTAAAAATTAGATGTTTCCATCTTATTTTCCCACCCTTTTCCTATGTAGGATAAATATGTGAATGTTTACTTTAAAAAAACCCCAAACAAACCACAAAGCTGTTCAAGAATAGCGACTACATAGAAAGAACAACTCTGGCACCATTTGGGTATTAGCGAACACAGAAACCCTGTCACCTCCACCCTCATCGTGGTATCTAATGTCCTGAAATAACGTGGGTTTGAGTTAGGCAGGGTTTATATATCTGTCTGAGATATATTTTTCCTTGTGTCTTTGAAACAATGTGGCCATAGGCCAATTGTTTGAAGAAAGGAAGCTGACATTAGCTTGAAAAGTTTATCAGTCCCAATTAATTATCTCCTGTTGTGCAATTACAGAAAGCATATGTGCAGCACAGTGCATCAATCTGTTTTTACCAGAGACCTTATGAGGATTTATTTTAATTTAAATGTATCTTTAGTGTGGTTGATGAAGTATTTGAAGCTAATGATGAAGCTAATGTGTTTATCCATGGTGGAGAAAGCTTACTGAGACTCAAGGTCAAAAGTGTCGTGAGTTACAGCATTAATACCAGCAGAACTGTCTTGCTAGTAAGTCAATAATTTTGCATGGCACAAGTGAGACACAGCAAAGAAGTATTTAAATTTCCCCTTCTCACAGCAACACCCAAGTTTCAATTTCATAGGGAGGAAAAGCTGCAACTCTAACCTGATGTACATGGAGCAGCACCGTGTTCACAAGGTGACCTTAAGTATTTTCATTAAAAGAAAGAACAAACTTCTCGCTGTACTTTGATAAATACAGTGGGCCTTCCCCACAGCGGTCAGAAAGAACAAGGGTGGTGTTCCAGTAACAAGTATGCCATAAAAACCATCACTTAAAACTGTATTTTTGGGCATCGTTTCGCGGGCACTGTAAGGCACTGCGCCCTCATGTTATCAAGCACTTGTTTTTTGTGTGTGTTTTTTTTTTTTTTCTCAGCGCTAAGTTCTTCACTTAACGTTTTAAATAAAAATCTGCAGCGCCGCGAAGTGACAGGGGCTGTTGAGACACCCGAGATTTTGAACTGGCGTTTCCCAGGAGGGGACAAAGGACCAGGACCCGCCGCCCGCCGCGTCTCCTCAGGCAATGGAAGGCAGGACAGCAGCTGAAGGCGGGAGCAACCACCACTCCCTGCGCAGGCGCCGCAGCGCGCGCGCCAAAAGTAGCGTCCCTGGCCGGCGCGCGGCGGCCGCCGACCAATGAGGCGGGGGCGGGGGGGCGTGGCCGGAGGCGCCGCCGTGCCCGCCGGCGGTGGGAGCGCGCGCGGCGGGAAAGGCGGCCGGGTTCGAAAGCGGCGCGCGGGGGGCGCGCGCGAGCCCCGTCCCGGGATGGCGGAGGCCTTGGTGAGAGCGCGCGGGGTGCCGCGTGGGGGTGTCGGTCTGTCTGTCGGTCGGTCCGTCCGCCTGCCTGTCGGTCTGTCTGGGCGCTGTGTTGCGGGCAGCGGCCGGTGCCTTCCGGAGAGCCGGAGGTGCGGCCCCCGGCGCGCTCCCGGAGGAGGGGCGGGGTCGCCCTTCCGCCTCAGCCGGGGGTCTTTCGCTCTTCCCTGAGGAGAGCCAGGCCGTGGTTGGCGCACCGCGAGCTCCGAGTACGGGCCCCTGGCACAGACACTTGTGCTCCGAGGGCTGCTCTGTCGGGAGCCCCGTTCCTCTCACGCTGCCTCTGGAGAGCCGCCTTCCATGGGCGAGTGAGCGCGTACGGAGCCGGACTCTCGTCCAGGCGCGCCACAATGGTGCTCATCCTGAGTTTTAAAACTCTTCATGTGGAGGGCGATGCGAACACGCTCATAAATGAACTGTTAAAAGCACTTTTTTTGTCCGTTACAGGAGATTTTAAGTCTCCTTAGTGCGAATGGCTTCATGCCAGGGGATTGTGCTGCGCTCTGCTGCAAGGGGAAGAGGTTTAAGACCGAGTGTCAAATTGACTGGAGTGTGGTTCTGCACAGCTTCTGAAAGTTGTTTTCCTCGTGTGACCTAGAGTTTCTTTCTGCCACTTAAGGCCGATGTTGAAAGTTTGCAGTACAATCAGTCCATACCTGGTGTTGGTTATTTTTGTTACCAGAAGTACTATCCAGAGAGGAATCACAAAGCAGTGTAAAGTACTGTCAGCATGGCAAACTTCAGGAAAATGAACTGAATTTTGTTGCGCTATGACTAGATAATCTCCACACTGCACGTACTTTTTAAATTTACACAAATGAATAAGAGTTTATAGTTGTTTTTCAGCTAAACATTTACAATTTTTTGAGATGCTTTCCTATCGTATCTGTGAAAAACTGGACTGTGCTTAGCTCTTGAATTTTTCATGACCTTTCTTCCCGCTTGTATCCTCGATAGCCTTTACCTGTTTCCAGGTCAGCGGCTTTATTTTGTTTGTTGACGCAGAAGGTAACGCTGATAATATGCTGCTGTTTGAAGTATTACTGCTCTAGCTGTGGTTGTAGATGACCGGAGTCGTGTTTTCTATTTGAATGACTTCGATTATATTCGGGTTTCAAGTGGTGTGAGGCAGCACTGGGACTTAGTTGAGGCTGTAGTTTTACCGTGGCACAGCGATGTGCTCCCACTGCCTGTCAGTGTGGTCGTGCTTGTGGCAAACAGGGTAGGAATCATCACGTGAGCAGCTAACACACAGAAGCGGATGTGTTGTAAAGTCATGTCCTGGCTTGCTTTGTGGTAGTTCAGTCCTCTTCCTTACTTAAAAGATCAGTCATTACGGTTGTGTAAATAGTAACCAGATCCTTAGATTCTCTGTGATTTCTGTCTTGTTAAGTCTCCTGTAAGACTCTCTGGCTTTGAATGCAACAGATGCTTCGATGGTTCTTGTGGAAAGCTGAATTTCTGGCAGTTGTTACAGGGGTTGTAGCTGCTGTGGCATTCTAAGGAAAACAGGGCTGCAGTAACTCCACTCTCCCACTAGTTTACGATGGCTTGAGAATGCTTGATATCTGCTCACTTGTTTTCCTGTCAATTGTCGTTATGCTCAGTAAAAACTGATTCTTATTTCTTCACAGAATCATTTAAAAAAAGACTACAGAGCAAGATTCTGCCATGGAGGAGGGTAATTTGCATTTAAAATTTTATTCTTAGATTCCGGAAAACTTATGTGGATTTTTATCTGAGAGCGTAATGTCAAGGCTATATGGTGTATCCTATAAAACCGATCATATGATGTTTCCCAAATTTCTTAGTGGTGGGAGGAGCAAATAGTGCTGGGGGACAAAGCCCACAGGTTTTCCTTTGTTTCCTTTTGCTGAGGCAGCTAAGTGTGATGTAGCTATACCTAAGGTACCCCTAACTAGGCTGCCTGAGTACAGGAGGAATAGTCTGTGCAGACATTTTACCTTTCAGGAAGTAGAGAAATGAAACCCACACAGAGTTCCAGCATATTTGGACCTTGCTGGTAAATGCTGGAGATGAGCTGGAGTATTTTCAGTGCTGTAGCATTCTTTAAAGGCACGTCAGAAGCCTGTGAGGTTCTTGTTACTGGAATCCATTTTTAGACTTGCATTTTGCGAGCGTGCAAAATCTACCTAATCAGCTGTTTTTGAAGGTGTGTGATGATAATTGTGGGAGTGAGACTCCATGGCTTTTCTAGTATTATTTTGGATTTGATCAACATTGGCTAGTGAATCACTCACTTTTTCCCCAAAAACATTTATTTCAAGAGAGACTCTCTTCATCCCAAAGCTCTTTTACCTTAGGGAAGTAGTTGGGTGTTTTCTTTTATGTAGAGAGAATTCTTCATTCTTATCATAAGCTGTGGCAGTGAGGCTTTTTTCCATGGAATTCTTATTTAGACAAATTTCTTTGCAGATATCTATGTGTGGAAATGATAGGTAAAACTATACTGAAGCTGGGACTAGGGGAAATTATAATTTAAAATATTGAGAAGTGAGAACTTTGCTGCTTTAATATTGCTGGGATAGGAAGATATGATATTTTTGATTTAAAATATTTTTTTTCCTCTCCCTTCTAGAACTAAGATTGATATACAGCCAGGTCAAAATGTACTGAAACTCATACAGGATTGTTTTGAAAGTAAGTTCTTATTCGGTGTTTTACTCAATTTGCTGGTAAAAGAAGAAATAATGTCTTCTTTGTATTATAGGTAGTGGTAAATAAATAGAAATAAAAATTAGAGATAAAATGGATAAAAATAAAGTTTTTCTCAGGGACTTGAAAAGCACCCTCTTCCTAGCTGCTTAAAACTGTGTCTTAGCTGTCTTACAAAGGTAATTTTTCCTGTCTATCTGATTCCTTTCTTGTTTGGATTTACATGACCTTAACAAGCTGTAGCAACTTGTTAAAATAAATGAGACCTGGACAATTCCAAGATCCCCATACTTAAAGTGTTTTCTTCGTAGGTTGCAGCAGTGATCTTACAATAAACTCTCCAAATGCAACCCTTTGCCCAGCTCCTATTGTCAAAAGTGGGAAGAGGACTTCAGCGCAGAGCCAAAAGGTAAGTTAGTTATGGCATTGTCACAGTGTAGCTTTGGGTACAGTTTCACTGGGATATGAGTTTAGTTCTGTAGGTTTAGTTCTGTATGAGCATTGAAGAAGCTCCATATGCTGCTTGTAACAGTATATAGGCTACAATTTAACCATCTGTAATAGTTGTTGATACTGTTTTTTCTTCTTAGTTTGTTGTGCTCAAACAGTACATATTCTGTAATTAGATTTGTTTAATAGCTTGTTTTCTAGTTTTTTTTCCTGGTGAAAGCTTTCTCAGCTTTTTGTCCAGAAAACCTAAATTTCTCATGGTCTCAGGTTGGAGCACACTGCCTTGTTACTGAGGGGTGGGTATGGCTCTCTGGGACTCCATTGGAGTTGGTTTTGGCCACTTTGCCATATATATGGAAACAGTTCTTAGCTGAATGGTGAACAGTAGAATTGAAAGGTGATGCTTGTATAAAAGCTTGTTAACTCCTGATAAATAGTTATCTGTATAATAACTTTATATATATGTATCTTTCTTGAAGAGTGGAAATAAGTTGAAGGCCTTGTTATGTGCTGGGAGAATGATGCCAATAATCTAGTTTGTATATTTAATATGCTTTGATTCTATTTTTTTTAATAGGATATTCCGTTAATGGCAGGGTTGAGAACAGGCATCCTTTATAATGGTGTTTTTTTACTATAGTTTGATGTTAGAATACCATATAATGTCAAATAATTTCTTGCAAAACTTCATCCTGTCTTAAGAAGGGTGAATTAAATTGTTTAAAATAATTCATTCAAATGAAAAGAATAGCTTGCCTGGAGACTAGCAGGATGCCTGTTTAAAGCTACATATAGATTTTTCCTGTTATTTGAAATTACAATTACTTTTAGAAAGTCTTACTTGATAGAAAGTTGAAGTGTTTAGTTAAAATAGAACTGTGATTCACATGAGTATGATTTAAGAGAAGGAAAGTATATTGTGTTCTGTAGGCATTTGTAGTCCTGTCAAAATACTGTTGCTTTATCGAATATTTTACTTTGTCTCATTATTTTTTACCAACTATGATAGCCAAAGGCAAGATCAAACAAGTCTGTGAAAAGAGCCTGTAATTCTCCAGAATCCTCACCTACATCACTGCTAAAACCAGTCAGCAGCAGAGGTTGGTCCTGCTATTACTGAATTAAGGTTTTTTAGGGTTTTTTTGTAAATTCTTGAGTAGAGGAATTAAACCTGTTCTATATATATAGCAGGACAGTCTTGTGAATCACCCTTGAAGCCTGCAATACATGATGGTGTAGCTGTTTCTAAAAAAACAGAGTCTCCTGTGTCTAAAAGCAAAAAAAATACATTAGAAGATGTTGAAGCGCTGTGCCGAAGTCCTGCCTTGTTTTTGGACCCTGAGGATGATCACAGGTCTGTTGGATCACCTTTTCCTGTGGAGAAAGGGAGAAGTTCTCCTGTACTTAAGTAAGTAGAGCTGAACATGGCCGTGGTGTTACATCCCCTGTGTGCCCTTTACCTTAGGGTAAATCGACACAGTGTTTCAATCAGTTATAAACCGTATCTGTTTTTAGAAAGGTCAGAATTATTTTTTATTAAATACTCTGGTGATAAGTGCAGCACCCAAGTGTAGGAGTCAGAATAGACTTGAACTCTTCTTTGCAGAAAAATTCACCAAAGTATCAGCTTCTCAGGTAGTCCAAACTTTTTCAGTGAATCCTATTGATAGTGTTGACCTTAGAAGGTAACAAGAATTTGTTAAAGTAGAAATGAGCAGCCGTCATTCCTCTCACTCTGAATAGACAAGTGTTTTATATGAAATAGAACAACTTAAGTTGTGATCTTTATCTCCCCACTGAATAATGTGAAGCCCAGCTGCAATATTGGCCAGTGGTGCTTTCCACAGTATTGCTTTCCTGGAGGACTGAGCCTCTGGGGTAAATCATAGAGATGGACTGACACTGATCCCATTGACTCCCACTGGTGGAGTGAGATTGGGAAGACAGTGTACCTACAGTCTAGGAAACCTGACAATTTCTGAAGCACCTTAGGACAAATTAGGAATTTGTCTTAGTGAGCAGCCTTTACTTTGATCAAGAGTCACCAGTGGACTGTGTTACTTTGGACACTTGCTACTGTGTTGGGAAGAACTACAGCTAAACTGTGTTCAAGCAAATTGCCGAAGGGAAGCTCATTCATTACAATTGAGACAATGTCAGCAGGAGCATCTGTTCTACCTCACAGTACTGTATTGTGCACTCACAAGATTTATAGCAATATGTCTGAATGCTGTTTTTCATACATAGATTGTGTTTTGATGGCTGGAATACACCTGCTGCAGCAAAGAGCTGTGGAGAAGCTGAAAATTTGGAAGGACCTCAGACTGGGAGAGATGAGCAGGTTGTTCTTGTGCAAGGAACAGAACCTGTTGCTACATCTTGTCTGCAGAAAAAGAAGACTTTCTCTTCAGCTTTCTTAGCAGCTGTAGCAACTGGAACACTTCGACAGAGGTTTGTTTTGAGGCTTAATGTGGAACATTAATTGCTATTAAAATAACTCTGGTCTGAATATGGGAACAACATCCTTTCATCTATAAACAAAGCCTGGGAGCATGTTTTGGGATAGTCCAGCATTGCTACATAACATTTTAATGTCCAACATTAAAAATGCTGCCCTTAAAAAAGTGTTTGAATGGTTGTTTCAAAATTTTGTGTAGGATTTAACAGTGCTCATGGTTTTGTCTGCCAGTAAAATAGTGTATTGTATAGTGTCTGTTGAATAGGGTTTCAAATAGAGCCTGAGGTGTTTTGATAGGTGGCCTAGAGGATTCAGGAAAGCCTTATGTGATTTTGAAGTTTACAGTGAGCAAGCAGTCCTTTTCAGAGGTAGTCTGGATCTGACTGGTTACATAGGAAGTTGACTGTCCAGTGTCTGTCCAAAGCAAGAAGAAGCAGGCCTTGGTGCTCTTTCTGGAAGCTTAAAGAGCAATGAATAAATGCATTCAGAAGAACGTTCTGTACTGTGTTTAGGTGTTCTGGAGTCACCACTAGATCTGAAAGATTAAAAGTCAGTTTACCCCACTGCCCAAAATGATTTCACTGTCCCTCCTTTCTGTAGGTATTCAGCCTCGCTATCACCCCCATCACCTCCTCCTGTGAAAGATCAAGATATAGAAATCGAAAATGAATGTGAATTTTTAATCGACGAATCAGGTGGCGCATCTTTTACTTCTTGGATTTCAATACCCAGTAAGAACAAAAAATCGAAAAAAGATGGCTCTGCAACTCCTGCTTCTAAATCTCAGCCCTCTGAAAAGAAGACGACACAGAATAAGAAAGGCAAGAACAAGGAAGCACAGGTTGAAGCACTTACTAAACAGAAACCGAATAATCTGGATGTTGGAGCATTTGACTTCAAAAGAACGTCAAAATCAGATCCAGTCTCTAACAGTGAAGGAAAGGTCCTTAAATCTCGAAGCCAAAAGGGTACTCATACAGGTAAGTTCTTTAACAGCTACTTAAACTTTTCTTTCCAGGTCATATTACTGGATTATTTTGTGGGGGTTTGTTAGGAAATTTCAATGCGCTTGTAGCAAGCATGGGTAGAACCCCTCTCAAATCTTTATTCGCGAAGCCTAGCCATGAAAAATGAAAATGAAATTAGGAAATTACAATAAAGTAGATGAGAGACGTTAATGGATTGCTTTCTGATGTTTCAGTTGCACAGTTAAATTTGGGTGTGTATGAGGCAGTGAGACAGAGTGTCACTCTTTGCCCTTCCTTATAGGATGCTAAAAATTAATTTAGCAGTGTTACCTTTTTTTATGAGCAGGTGTAGAAGGTAGGTACCTGCAAACTTTTGCTCCTCTTGGTAGAAAGGAGTTTAAGACACATGCTTCAGACTGAAGGGGATTGGGTTTTAGGAATTACTTGTGAAGGGGTTTGTAACAGGAAACACTGAAAACTAGAAAGCAAGCTAATTTCTGCTCCCTTTTCTTCTGTTAGGAAATACTGGAAGTAAACTAAAACATTTTTTATACACTATAGTTTAGAGAAGGCCTTCTTTTAGCCTTTGGGAACAAACCTGGTTTTGCAATGCCTTTTGTTTGTTTATTTTCCCATTTTGATTTTTTGGTTTATTTTTATGCATTCAGATGTCAGCAGGGATCTTCACGTTCAATGTAAAAAGGTATTAATGTCCAAATGTTTTGTGTATTGATAGGAAAGACTAAAAAGGATGCACTTAGGCAAGACTCTCCAAACCAGAAAAAGAACACATCCTGGAAACCACTAGCTGAAAAACTGATGTTGTCATGGTCTGGATTGGAAACAGAAGCATCTGATGCAGAAAAATGTAAAACAAAGGTGCTGCCAAGTGAAGATTTGCCTATGCCCTCATCTGGGCGTCAGCAAGAACAGACTATGTCTCCAAAAAAGTCTCTCAAGTCTTCCAAGAATCCGCAGTCAGCTTCAAAAGCTTCTCAGCATTTAGATAAGAGGAAACAAACTGCTAAGCAGAAACTTCCAAAAGTTAAAGTAGCTAAGAAAGTGGCAGTAAGTCCAAGGAAGGAGCTTAAAAAATCTGTCCAAAAAAGTAGTAATAAAAAGCCTCAGTTACAAAGAGAGAAGAGTTCTGACAGTGAACCTAGTGAAGAAGAGCATGAAAGAGAGCTTGTAGATCTGAAAGACGTGTGCACCACACCCTTGCGTCAGAAATTAGAGACTCCCGTGATTCAGAAATTTGCTGTGTCTGAAAAGCCTAGAAATGTGTTGCACACACTGGAGTCATCCGGTGGTGCAAATAACCGAACTCCTGTGAAAGCACTGCAGCATCCCATGGACAGTGTGAAGAAGTCTGAAAAGAAACAGTTGCCAGCCAAGTATTCAGGGAAGATACCCGAAAAGATTCCTTGCAGAACCAATAAAGCTGTTTACTCAAACTCTGAGGACACTGAGTCTCAAACAGATTCTGACAGCTCTTCTGTACAGAACGTGGCGAGGAAAAAGCAGAAATTATCAGATGTGAAAATAAAAAATAACAAAAGGAAACGTAACAGGCAACATGGACTGCAGTAAGCTTTTTGTGTGATTCCTTACAAGTGTGGTATAATTTGGTAGATAATTAAACACACCTTGTTAACTTTTAAGCAGTGATGGCCCAACTGAACTACGAGATAGTTTAACACCGGTTGAATAGTTAATAGAGAAACCAAGTGGGGTAGTCAACATCCTGTTCTCAAATGTGGGTGCCAAATCTAGTGTCTTTTACATGAGGAAGCTTGTGCTGGTTAAACTGTTGTCATGAGACTTGTGTAGTAGATCCAGTTTGACACTTTCCCACCACCACAGAGTAACTTCACTGTCAGGTTTGTTATTTTTTTAAATGAAATGTAGAAAATACAGCATTTATTTCTTCAGCTATTGTATATATTTTTGTGGAAGTAACTTTCTAGTCATTGGCAATCTAAAGATGGAAGCTGAAGGAGTCTCAAACCAGTTTATAGTACTTGTTCTTTGCATTGTTTTTAAATTTTTTTTTAATGTCTTTTTTTACAATTTTGTTCAGGATATAAATTTACAGGATTATAGGATCCTCTCATCAAGTAAAATTGATTCAACACTAAAACGTACTAAGAATAATTTTTTCTCTTCTAGAGATTCCTTTGTGGCTGAGAGGGCTGTGAACTATGAAAGGTAATTTCTTGAGTTGTCTGAAAACTTTGAATTTAATCTCACTTCTGCCCCACTGAGACAGAACAGTTTGGTACTACTACCCCATTCTGTGCTCTACTAGTGAAGCACCTTGTAGAAAAGAATTGATTCATGCTTGAGGGTTTTAAATACTGCGCTAATACAGTTAATAAACTAATAAAATTTTTCTTTCTGTCATAAATAAGGGGTCATAGTAAGTTTCTTGCCTTAGGGGTTTTTTTCCTTTGTGGCTTGCTTACACATTAGTGTGTGATTTTGGAACAGAAATATCAGTACTCCTAGAACTAATAGCAACTGTACTGATAAAGTTGCTGTTAAGTGTCGTATAGAGCTGTAGCTACAGTCCAAACTTTGTGCATGTAGATAGGCATGTATCTTCCCCTTCATTGCGTTGGGAACTTAATGACAAAGCAAACAGGAGTGGCAGTCTGTGAATTCATTGAATTCTTAAGCAGTCATTCTGCAGAAAATTTGGGGGTTTTTAATTATAAGGGAAACTGGTGTTTAAAAGAAAAACAAAACCCAGACCACATGATCTGAAAAGAATTAAATTTGATATTCATAGTAGTGCTGTAATGTAATGTTTCTTTGACATTTAACATCTTTAAGCAGGTTTATTTTTTATTGTTTTGCAGTGGGCCTGCTCTAGAACATTGTGATAAATTTGCTTTCAGCAGTAAGTCTTGTGAACAGTATGATACATCTTCAGGTAATGTTTAAAGTTGTTGTTTTCTTGCATTTTATATATAAACTTCTTATAAACTGTAACTGATGGTTCAGTAATTTCTGTTGTATTCAGCTTGTCCAGAACAAGTGCAGATTTTATTGGCTGTGGTTACGTTTCTGTTCAAGTACGTGATACAGTATGCCAGCTTTACATTGTGGTAGCTTTGGAAGGACAAGCCCTTCATGGTTTGGCATCAAGCCTACCATGATAAAGTTATCTCTCCAAAATATTTCGAAGAAATTTTTCAGGCTCTGTTTGTACTAATTTGATGTGTTGCTATGTGTATATGGCATGCATATAGTACTATGTGATGGTACTATATGCAGCCTATTCAGGCCACCCTGGACCAAATTGTACAGCCTGATGGCCTGTTCACCCAAGAATATTTTGGTTTGGGGTGTTTTGGTTGATCGGTTTGGTTTGTAGGGTCTGGTTTGGTTTTGGTTTTTTTTTTTATTTATTTGGTTTGGGTTTTAAGTTTCACTGCACGAGTTGCACATGTTGTCATAATGAACATGAGCCCTGGAGATAAAAAGTCTTTTTGTTAGTGTTTTAGAGCTAAAATTGAATATGCAAATGTTATTATTTCATTATTGCTTTCTTCAGAGACCTGGTTTTTGTGCGTATTCTGGTAAGAAGTTTATCCTAAAGCTAAGTTTGAGTGACATAAAGCTGAATGACCTTGCACTTTGTTGTCATAATTTGCCAATGTTCGTTTTATCAAGAGGGATAGGTCTGAGGAATATTTACTTGAATGTATAGTTTTCATGTAGTTTTCAAGCTTTGCTGATTGCATATACTGTTTATCTACACTGGGTTTCATACATGTTTATAGCAAAATGTGTTAAGGGGGAACACTTTCATTGGGACTGCAGTTTGTATTACCCTTGGTTGCTTTTAGTGGGTATATTGGATAAAAGTCAGGAAAGGTAAATGCCTATGGTGGTGGTTTTTTGAATGTCTTTACAGAGAATTTTGATGACTTGAATTACAAAGTAATAGATCCGTTGTCAGACAACATAGCAAGGCATAAAATAGGTAAGATTATTTTAAAATATCATAATGTGTGTAAATACAAATGTATTTCCAATGTGATGTAAACTCTGCTGAAGGAGACTGGCACTGCAGCTGCACACTGAGCTACCTGCACTGAATGTGTTCCTAAACAATTGAGTCAAGACAAACCTACAGTTCAGTGAGAACAGTAAGAGTTTGTATTAGTTTTATGCAGTATAACTGGCAGTGCAAATAACCTGCCTTCTGTGGTGGTCTGGGTCTGGATAGGATGGAACAATGGGTGTGCAGTCGACTGCAGTACCATGCTTGCCTGTATTGTATTGGGTTTTTTTTATTGCTTTCATTATTATTTTATGCACAACACTTTAGTTGTCTACTTTCAAAAACTATTTCATCAAGTTTTTTATATTTACCCTTTTTAACATTTAAATATTCTTGACTAATTTGCTCTTAACTCTTTAAGGGCTTTTATTCTTCCTTACAAATATTAAAATATATCTTACTGTATTCATATATGGCAGCTTAGACAACTTGAAAGTTGAGACTATGTAATAAGTACGTCTGAAGTTAAATATCTGAGAAATCTTGGAAATGCATGGAGTTTCTTTTGGCAGAAGTGGACCTCTTCTGGACCTCAGAGATGGGACTTGTGAATCTGGAAGGGGGGAGGAGCTTCGAATACAATCTCTTACTCTCCCCTTGCCATAACTAAGGCAGTGCCTTTTCACTGTTGCTAATGAAATCCCTCAGATTTAGGCAGGGTCCTTAGTCTTTGTCGAGAGCTTTGTCTTCACAGTTGTAGCATGTTTTCTGTCCCTGTGCTTGAGCTCCGAAGGTCCATATCTCAGTGATTCACTAAGACACGTAGAACTAAATGTAATGCGAAGTCAGTGTGGTGATTATTTAAGCAAAAAGAGAGTGAAATAGTGATGTATACAAAAGAGGGCTTTTGTCAATGTTTGGATCCCGTTTTCCTGTCATGACATCAATGTGATGTAAGTATCAGCTGGGAGGTGCTGACCCCTCTTGTGATACAGCAGAACAGGAAAGGATATTCAGTATTTTCCATCTCTGAATTTTCTTTTCATGCTTAATGTGAATTATGTCATCCTTCAAATTAGTGATGCCTTCCAACACACCTAACGTTCGTCGAACAAAAAGGATACGGCTAAAACCTCTGGAATATTGGAGAGGCGAGCGCATAAACTATAATATGAACTCTTCAGGTATTAGTTCCAAAATACCTATTTGCTTCCTAGCAGATACTGTAATATTTTATCCAGTCTCAGTGTTAAATTCCCTAAGTGAGCAAATATATCTTGTTCTTTTGGATTTTTTTTTGACATTTCATCCTAATATTTGGTCTTTTCCTAATTAACTAATTTGCTTAAGAACGTATTTCTTTGTGTTCCTAAAATTGATATTTTATCTTGAAAAATTGCTTTCATATCATGGTTTTCTGAAATGCCATGTGACTGAAATTTGATAAAAATTATTTTTAAAATATCTCAACTTGCACTGCACTCCAAAATACTTAATAATGAAAAGCTTTTTGGTTTGTTCTGGCTTTCTAAAGCTGTCTAAAAATTTCAGCATCAAGGAAGTATATTCTCAATTAAAATGCTTGTTGGTTGTGCAAGTTTGTATTCCTTTAAAGCTACTGTGAGTTAGCAAACTTTAACTTCCTTTTGTTTCAGGAGGGCTTGTGATTAGTGGATTAGTGCATCCAGAAACACAACCTTGCAGTAAGAATAAACAGAGGAAGGATCATCAGAAGCAGAAAACCAATAAAACAAGTACGAACGCAGACTTTTTTTCCTTTTGATACTTAAAAAAAAGGTATCTGTAATCCAGTACTCTGTTGCTGTAAGATTTTCCTTCTGTAAACAATTGATTCTCTATCTGGGTGAAAATAATTTTATAACAAAATCTATTAATGTGATGTGGAAAAACCTGTTCTTGCTTTATCTATAGCAATGCTGTGTATTCTTGTTTTAAAAATGTTAACTTTTCAGAAGAAAGGAAGAAATACAGAACATACCCAGAAATGCCTTTAAAGCAGGGGTAGGAAAAAAATAAACTGTACTTCTGTTTGTGTTCAGATCATGATGCTAATGTGCACAGTTAAATTATAAAGACTTGTGGTCGTTTTACTGATACCTGTAATACCACATCTAAAAGGGCAGTATATGGTGTTAGTAGAGTCTCAAGCTTTTGTAGGTTAAATACAAAACCACAACATGGTAGGTGAAGAGAGAGCTTTAAGAACACTACATAAAATGGTTCAAAGTGAGCTATAAATCTATATTTAAACAAACAGGGAAAGGAAGCTTTGCTAGAGCCTCCGTGGCCAGAAGATAGTAAATATTTATGTAGTGTTCAGAAACGAGAGTCACAATTCAAACACCAAATTATTTTTGCTGTGCAATCTGAAAGATGTTTCAGTGCTGAAGAGCCTTTCTTTATGGGGACTGTCTAGAGCTGTTGTTTGAAACTGAAACATTTCTCTGTAAAGTTACAGAACTAATAAAACAAGTGCTAACAAGCATGGAAAACGCCATATGGTCCTAACATAGTTCTAAAACAAATCAGGGCTGAAATAATAATCAGAGAAATAAGGAAGAAAACAGTCACTGTTGGTAAAAATTTCTGATTTTCCAGAGTGTTTCATGTGAATTTTGTCTCTTAACTCAAGAAGAAAGTGGTAGGACTAGAGAAGGTTCAGGGAAAGCTTATCAAAAACATGAAAGGACTTCTATAGAGAAGCAACCACATAGTGAAGACTCTTCAGCCCTCAGGAGAGTTCTGTGGAGGCATGAGAAAGACCTATAAAATCACAGGTGGTGTAGAGAAGGGAAATAGAAATAAATTGTTTTATTGGCTTTTTTGTATGTTTGTTTTTAAACACAAGAACTAGAAGGTGTGGCAGGAAGATACTGAAAGCTGCGTTCTTTACAGAATAAGGTGGCCGTTCTCACTATGTGCTTCCTGCCTCATAATATTGTGGATAAAAATATTTATGTAGATTCAAGACAAGATGTAGATCCTGGTCCAGATCAATCTAAGTACAGTTTACGTTCTAATATAAATAATTTGCAGCGCATGTGAACCTGAGCTGGTAGTGACTGTTCGTGCTGTATCTTACAAGAGCTGTTGGTTGCTTTGAACTGTTTTCAAGAAGTGATCGATTTCCTCTCGAACAGACATCCATCCTCAGAGATAGTTTTTTTCGCTCTCGTCCTTGAGTTTTAGTGATGCATGTAAGGGACTGTTGGCTGAGAAAAATTTCTAGCACGAATTCTCAAATCTTACTGATACAATAAAAATTCTGTGGTTATAGCTATAGAGGTACACCTGATGCTGCTTCTGTTTATACAGAGATGGTTATGTTGGAGCAGAGCTGTTTAAACACAGCAACTTTCTTCCTACTCCTGACTGTCTTGGTGTAAGGGTATTTAAGGAGCTAAGAGTGCCTACAGAGTGCATCAGCTTGCCTGTAATATGCTGCTTCTGACTGTGTTTAAAGAAATTTCCTGTGTAGTGTAGAGCTAAAATTGTCTGCTTATGAGAATTCTGCAAGAGAGCTTTGGGATATTCTGTTGTGAACATTTTCCAGCATCCCTTTTCTGTGTGAAAAATGTAGAGTTGTCATCGATTCTTAGGATATTTCCTGCTGTGGAAAAATCCTTTTTATTATATCCTTTTTATTATGGAAATAGTTCTCACATTTGCAACATACAGTGAGATTTCTTGAGAAAAAAAAAATTGGACATGTGCTTAGGCTTTAGAATGCTTTATCTCTTAAGTCTCCTTTGTCAGCAGTAGGTAAAAGCAAAAAAACTTGGTCTTCATACTTCATCCTGTATTTTATATCCTCTCAGCATCTGTTGCTAGGAAAGCACTTCTCTGAAAATACAGATGCTTTTGAGTAAATACTGTTGTTAATAGCGCAGGATAAATAGTTGGCATTCCCCTGGGAAATTTCTTAGGATTTAGAGAGCCTTCATCTATTACACACAGAAATTATTTCAATGAAAATTACATTTTCAAGAAACTGTTATGGATGGTTTCCTTTTATTTAAATGAAGTGTATTCAGTCTGTTTAGTTCCCTTATTAAAACAAGTTTAAGTACTTTACATGTGACATTAGAACTGTGGAAAAGTTGTGGTTAAATAAGTTTTTTCAATGCATAGTGATAATTTTTCTGGGTTTGTTTTGATTTCTTTGTTTCCTCAGAGAGAAGAGAGATACCTGCAAGTTTGGATCACAACCTAGCTGATACTTCTAAGCCAACCATTGTACTGGACCCAGTAACAAATGAGGAGGTAGTTCTGGGTGAGTTGAAGGGATGTGAGCAAGGGACTTAGTGAATTAAATAAGCTGTGTTTAGACTGATAAGAAAAAAATTGTTCATGCCACATTGGGCATAAGAAGGTGAGCTATTGAAATATTCATTGCTCTTCTGGAGAAAGTTCTGAGGGAAACAAAAAGTGTTGTGATTTTTTTGCTAAATATTTAGTATAGCTTTTGGAGGTGTTGCACTGAAACAATATATGATGCACTGAACAAGTTACAAGACTAATTACATGATAGCATTAATGCTAATCTCTTGAACTTTTTTGTAGAATGTGTTAACACTGAAAGCAGTCACGCTTGCTCCTTCAAAGATGAAGCGGTAGAAATATACAAAAATTTGAATACATCTGTTTTTGCAACTGGTAAATTGATTTTGAAACCACTTAAAGAAAAGGGACACCAATTTGTCCACATGGATACAATAGTAAGTGTGTTTTTTTCTTACTTTTATAAGACAGTGTAAACAGGAGATCTTAGCGTGGTTGGAAGTCGCTGACAGGTTTTTCAGGGGTTTTCCCTCTCATAATGCACATAAACATTAATGAATCATTTTCCTGAGGTACTTTGCATGCACATTGCCCTCCTTTGTGTCATACTAAATTTGTATGTCTATGGGCACTTACTATCTAGACCTTGCAGGCAAGACAGAAGTATCAAATAAATAAGATGACCCCATTCCCTCTTTGGAGTTGTGCATCTTATTTTTCAGCAGTGTGGGGGTAAAAAAAGGATTGCAGTTCTGCCTGCTTATTTTGGGTTTTATCTTTGTTACAACATGTGTGCAGATGTTTTCTGGGATAACTTCCTTAAATGTTATCAAAGGAAATGTTGCTAATATTAAAATCCTTTGGCTTTCATTAAGGCTTTCCATATTATCCGTGGCAAGATTATTGTTACATTACATAAGACATCATATTATCTGACTACAGGGGACTCCTTCTATGTTCCACCAGGTGAGTACACGTATCTAAAACAAATGCGTTGGGGATGGTTGAGACTGTATTAGCATGCTAGGAATCAAAACCAAACTGAATGACTGAAAGAGAGATGGAATAGAGAGTGGGCAAGTATAGACTTATGGAGAATGGAACGTGACACAACACTGGACACAGGTCAATAATCTAATTGTTGAACGCAGTGATTCACATACTGCTTGTTTGTGTGAGTTGGCCTCAAAGTTTTGATGACACTACCAGGTTCTAAGAGTAAATTTCTCTTGGTTTTCTGATTCTGTCACTAGTTATAATGTTGGGGAAACATCACAGACAGCATAATATAGTGGTAGCTAATTATAATTGTTTTGGTCATCATCTGCTCGCTGTTTTCTTCTATGTAAAATTATGAAAATCTATTTGTCTCAGTTCTCTGTATTTTGTGCTTTGTGCTTGATATATAGAACGTGCAGAATGTCCTGTTGAATGGGTTGTAAATTCATATGAGTTGTTGAGCATTTAAAGACCTGATTTGCCCTTCTGATATAAAAGTAACCTGAATTCCATATGGGAAACTGTCCATCAGTGGGTTAAGATACTAATCAGAAGATTTTGTAGTACTTGTAAAGCAGGCTGTTCATGAAGCTGTAGAAAACTTTTGTATAGCCTTTGTGTGAAGAAGCTGTCTTAAAATATTACAAATTAACCCTTTTTTTCTGTTAACTTTTCTGTGAACTTTTTTCTGTTAACTTTTTCTGTTAACAGAAAAAGTTAACAGAGTGATGTCCTGATTGAGCAATCATTGTTCAATTAATGCTTGATGCTTTTAAGCTTTTTTTTTTTTNTTAAAAGTTTAGGCATCTGCAGAGGCAATTTTCTGCTTTTTGGGAAAGTGGATTATATAAAATGCTGAAAGTTTCATGGGACCAGAAGGATCTGTAGTTTATCTCCATTCCTCCCTGCTTCCTCCTGGCTGGTCTTAGCATAGTTGGATGGGCAATGAGTGCAGCGTTTGTGGCAGATGATCTCTGTAAATCACTGTGTGGCCATATGAATGTTAGGATATTGCTCATTCACGATGTTCAAAGCCTATCAGATGATTCTCTTTTGTGGTCATGTTAATGAGCAAATCTCAAGTGAAGATCTGCAGGTAGGTTTCCATGTGCAGATTTTATTGATAGTTTCTATGGGAATAAATTAAATTCAGTCACCTTAAAGTTTTATTGTGCATTTTGAGAGCTGAGAGCTCAAGCCTGTTACATTCTTTTCAGTTAAAATTTTCTAAGCAAAGATGCACTTTATTCTTACCACAGGTTAAAATAAATGACACTAGCTGTATTCCTTGTCATCTCCTTGAAATGTATGACCTGTCTGTAAGAGTGGCATCCTAGATTAGGAGCTAATTTTTCTTCTGTTAAAATATATGAAATAAAAATACACTTGTCTGAACATAGGACAGAACCTGAAAAATTGCTATTAGCTCCTAAAGAGCCAAAACTTACTGTGTTTTTATTTGTAGGAAATGGATATAACATACGTAATCTTCTGAACGAAGAAAGTGTTCTTCTCTTCACGCAACTCAAAGTCAGGTGAAGAACCTTCTGCAGAGAAGTTTGCTGAAACACTTCTCAAGCTTTTGTATGTTCTGGAGTTCTTTTTACATACAAAAAATGTTCGAGTGTGCCCACCTCAACATTACAAATTAAAACAGAGCAGGTGAAATCAACATAAGAAGAGTTGAGAACAAAACCAAAAGAACCTCAGTAGTTTGCTGTCAAACTGAAATGAGACACTGAAGGGCCTCACTCTGCATCAACTACTGTTCTTGTGCCATCCAGTGACAGAAAGATACAAGTATAAAATGTGTGGGTATATTTATTGTCCCAAATTGTATCAATATGCTTAATCTCCCTAAAGATAACTTAGCACTTGAAAAAATGTTGACATCTTCAGCTATCTGATAGATAGTCTTAACAACTGCCTGGTACAAACTGCTTAGAGTAATCTCTGTTTAAATGATGAACCTGCTGTTTGCATTCCAGTAATTGTTGTCTGGGAGATGGGCTGCTGAAATGTTTGTGCGCTGGGGTCCAGCCGCCTTCTAAATATGCTAATGACAGGCATTTGTTCCTTGTCTGGCAGCTGTATGATTAGTGCCTCCAGTTCCAATAGTAAAGCAGAAGCTTTTAAGTAGGAGCTTATCAGTTGTGTCTTTTGTGTGGAAGCTGTGGCCTGATTAGCTCTGAACATTGTTGATAGCTTTATTTTGTGTAACAGCGATAGGTCATTGCCAAATATATTACTTTAATATCTCCTTTTGATTTCCTTGCTGTGTTCCTGGATAGTAATGAGGACCTTTGGGAAAGCTGTAATTATACTGTATACTCGAGAAGCCAAGTCTAGACAGCAGATGGTATCCATAGCATTTGTCTCCCAAGCTCTTCAAGGTTCCTTCTGGCTGAAGATAAACTACAGCTATTCTGATAGGGTGCTTTCTCTTCTCTGGTCACTGCTATCCTCAGAGAGGAGGAGATAAGGAAAATTGAATTGGAATCGAGAAGTTTTAAGGATTTGAGGATTGAGTGTTGACCTCATAAATGGTTTTGGCCATGATATTTATGCTAAATCCAGAGTATACATTAAAGTAGGAAAAATGAATTGGCTTTCAGATGCCAGCTGACTTTGTGTGTCTGCGAGAGGGCTTGGACACCAAGATTGCCATGCTTCTGTGAAAGGTCCTTTAGGCTGGGGAGTTTGAGATACTACTTTTTGTCATGCTCTTTCAAGTAGTATTTCCTATAGCTGGGGCATAGGGACAGTGGAAATACTTGGTAGAGGTTATGTGACATCTTTTCATTCATGACTGGGTTACATGTAACTGGGAAGATGAAACAGGAACGTGCCTTTTGCCATTTAGTTCTACCTCTGTCTTGATACGAACTATTTGTATCAGAGTTCAGACTACACAGAAGGAACTTTTTTTCCCAACCTCAACTTTTGTAAGCAGTTTGAGTTAAAATTTAAAAAAAAAAAAGTCATTTAGTCACTAGATGTGAGTTTGATGTTGACTCAGATGAGAAGTGATATGTTACCCTTCTCATATCAGGCATTGATGTGTCTTCCCCCCCTGCACTGTACTGGCACACTGCAGCAAGGTTTTGAGTTGGTTTTCTCTTGGGTCAAGAGTAAGTGGTGAGAAATATGTCCTTTGGGATGCTTCCTTAGAGAGAAGTAACGTGCAGACCTTTTCCTGACACAGGCTGGAAAGTGCAGGTGTTCAAATGCAGGTTTGAGGTCAGCATGCCTGTTTGTGTTTTCCTAATTCTGTGTCTGGGAGTGTCAGCAGAATAGAGTGGATTTGGTAAAGTATGTCGCTTTTTAGTCTGGATGGGTTTGTTGCTTTCTGATTAGTCGGCTTCTTGGGATAGATGTCCTGTGTGATTCGAGGAGAACATTTTGTAGTTGGACTACATCTCAAAATGTTTGTGTTTTACTTCTTTTTTAAGAAGCAATACCAGTTGTGCCAAGGGATGTTCTCTGGAATATTGCCGTGGCTTAGCAACACTTCTACTGTTTGCCAGTAGATGGGGCTTCAAGCACAGATGTTTGTTCTTCACTGGCCTCTATGTTCTATCAGGGTCTGGTTTTTGAAAGGTAGCAAGGAGTGTGTTACAGGTGGAGATAAATTCAGTTGAATTCTGTTGCAAGGAAGTGTAAATCAGTTGCCATTAACAGTAGGACTTGGTCCTGAATGCTGCTAGGTTCATTCTGTTAGCATGGATGTTGTACTAGTTGCAGCCACTTTCTCAAAATTGTTTTTTAAATCATCAGTGGACTGCAGGAATTGTTGAGTTGACCTGGGTTGTTCACTGTTGGCTTGCATTACATGTTAATTTTTTTAATTCAACTGGACACTTGTATGAAATTTGCTTCTGTGTCATTAGCCTGAATATAGTGTGGGGAGGTGCAAGAGGATCTTCAGAGTTCCAGGACTTCCATGGCTGCTGAGCTCTGCAGCATGTCAGTCAGTAATCAGTTGCTGGTCAGAAGCAGCAGCTGATGTTTCACCTCTGCCTGGTCTTGTTTTGGCTGCATTTTTGTGTACATCAGGCCAAATTGGATATCACAAATAAAAAAGCTGTTTCCAAAATGTGAGAAGTTTGCAATCTTCTTCCTGCATATGTGTGATTCTTTTTACCAGCATGTTTTCTACTCTGCTGAGTAATCTCACTTCCACTGGCTACTGTGGTTTAGCCAGGTTTTTGTTAAGCTAGGCTGACATTGGTTAGCCAGTGTTACCTGTGGTGAAGTTGGGAGCACTGTTGTGTGAGAGACATGGCCTTTTCATCTGACTGTGAGATATACATACTGTTCCTGGAGGATGCATAGTGATATCCTGCAGGATATCCCTGTTTTAGTATATTAATTCATTGCTTTCTGTCAACAGTAATTGAGAGAGCTGGAAACAAAAGCCGAGTCAAATATTTCAGCTTCATGTTAGTAGGTACATGTGTTCTGTAGTAGGTACTCTGGTAACATCCAGAGACTTGTTTTAAGGAACTTAGCTGAGAAGTCCCACCACCATAAAGCATCAGAGTTTTGAAGGCTTTGGCTCCCTTTGAAAATAATTACAGGTTAGTAGGTTCTTTTGCAGATCTGTCTCTTTGTAGTTTCGTTTGGTTAGAAAACTGTTCCTGTTTTACTAAGCAAAGCTTAGTAAAAGAAGCAGAAGAATAATTGCAGAACTGTCAGATGTGTATGCACATCCATATTTGTACAACTCTGTAAACATAAAATAGGAGATTGTGAGCTGAGTAATTACAGAAAAAAATAAACAGGACCAATAAAACAAACTGTTGAGGCACATATACAGCTTCTTCTGCTTTGAGTGCACAGCTAAATTGGTTATCTGCAGATGATTTTAAATTAACATTTGGAGAATACAATAAACCTCAAGAGCTATTTCCTCATTTCATAACAGCTGAAAAGGCATTTCAGCATGAAGGAATATTTCTTACATTTTTACTGATGTATAGACTCTGCATGATGCCTTTTGTAATACAGGCTTTACTTTAAGTGGTGATTGATTGCAGATAATACATCTAACTGAAAAGCATGGACCGTGCCTCTTTAATGGTATTGACAGCTGTTGTAACTGAATATCTTAATCTTTCCAAGCTGGTACACTTCCTATGCAGAATATCCTGTCACTTCATGGATGATCACAAATGCAGTCAGAAGAGATCTCAAAGCCAAACTTTTCTCAGATTGTGTGGACAAGCTTCATTTAGGATTTGACAGCCAAAATGATTCCTGTGGGTCAATTCTGCAATGAAAGCAGTGGTTGATCATCAGTCAAAACAGTCAGCTGCAGGTTATTAGGGAAGGGATACATGAAAAGGTGTGCCTCCAGAGCTGCCCTGTGTCCTTGAGCCCACCCACGAAGCTCCTGTTCTGTTATGCTTCAGTTAAAGTGCCCAAGTAAAGGTGCACACAAAAGGTTGTAAAACCACATGCACTTTGCATTTCTTCTGCAGTCATCTCTCGTATGGAGCACCAGAGGAACGGTGATTGAAACAAGGAGCTGGAAGAAGCAAAATGTTAGTCGGTCTGACTGTTCAGTTGAGATACAAATCTGAAAGTGTTCACAGGAAAAAATATTAATGACCAGAATAAGACTTTTAACTTCTCTTTGCAGCTTGATAGCTAAGGACTTAAATTTGAAAACTGAAGACTAGTCTTGACTAGTATTTAGGAAGTGTGTGAAGTGGGTGCAATAGCTGTTAACACACATTATTTCATTTATCTTATTAAATTTTTTCAGTGTCCTGGTGCTTAAAGTTACCTTTTCCTGGGTTTTCAGCATCAGTAACTGAAAGGAGAATTGATCAAGATGGCAGATGCATGATAACGCTGTGTGCGTATCTACTGGAATCAACATGCCATAAAGAGGGAGAGGAAAGGAGTGAAGTGAGAGGTGGAAATATAACAAAGAGCTGTATTAGTGTCCAACAGTCGTGCAGACTAGGTTATGCAAAGGATTTTCAATGAAACTCAATAACTTTGGAAAGAGGTAGGTATGGGTAAGAGTTTCTGGTGTTGGTGCCATGAGGTTGCAGCTGTCTGTACTGGTAACCTACACTCTTGGTTTGGATTCTAGTAGTGATATGATTAGTTGGGTTTAAGATCATTTATGTCATCTTCTCTGAAATTAGAGCATTCAGCTAATGAGCATGATGTATAATCCACTGAAAAAGAGGCCTGAACTTACTGAAGTTTGTCGTTTCTTTATGTTAGCAACATTTTTGTGTTGTGATACAGTGGGAGTAATTCCAAGAAATGAAAGTTAGTAATGAAAAAGTTTTTTTCAAACAGAATCTGAACTTGGAATTTTATTGCTGACGAAGAGCGAGCTCCCCTAGGATGCAGTAGCCTATACACTGAAGAAACTGAGTAGTTCTCCTGTATTTCAGTTAGTGCCGAGTCAGCTCTGAGGCTAATTAATCAAAACAAATTTACAATTAAGCCCAGGAAGGAAGACTAATTAAGTAGACAGTTAAGAAAAGTGCTGAAGAAGGGAGCAACCTTAAGGGGAAAGTATGAGACTCCCAGTACTGGCCCATGAAGGACAATTAAGTGATAATTGCAGAGAAATTTTTGCATCCAGCAAATGCTGTCTGCCTTTTATTATGGCTGATTTTTCTTATTAGTAGAAGCAGACATTTGCCTGATGAGCAACTAGGCTTTACTGTGCGCTCTTAAGGTAATTCAGAGGTAAAGCAGAGAGGTCGCTGCAGGAATAAATTAGGACACAGCTCCCATACTTGAACAGTATTTTAGGTAGTGAAAGCCCCACTGTGTTTTAAAGACAAACTTATTTCAAATGTCTTCTTTATTTGCCTTTTCATTTTGCGGCATACCGAGTCCATGTTAGTATCCTGTTTAACTTTCCAAATGCAATTTTCAAACAAATTACATTGAGTGAACTATCAGAATTTAGAATAGCTTCATTTTGTTCATTTGCTCACCCCACCGAAGTTTGCAGAAATTTCATTACCTTGTGATGAAATGGTTCTGTCGCTTACGTCCTCGTATTGGGTTTGCACGGCCAGGTAGTTTGGTGGTGATGGAGGAGGGGTACTGGGGGGGCTTCTGTGAGAAACTGCCAGAAGCTTCCCTCATGTCCAACAGAGACAATGCCAGCTATCCCCAGTGTGGACCTGCCGCTGGCCAAGGCCAAGGCAGTCAAAGATGGTGGTAGCGCCTCTGTGATATCATTTAGGAAGGAAAAAAAGCTACTGTACAGGAGTAATTATGGACAGAGAAGAGAGCAGTGAGAATATGTGAGAGAAACAGCCCTGCAGACACCCAGGTCAGTGCAGAAGGAGAGGGAAGAGGTGCTCCCAGCGCTGGAGCTTGAGATTCCCCTGTATCCTGTGACCATAACTGAGTGAGTGATCTCTCCCTGTCCTCATCTCAGCCCAGGAGCGTTTTGTTATGTTTTCTCCCCTCCTGTCCATCTGAGGAAGGGGAGTGATAGAGGAGCTTTGGTGGGCACCTGGCATCCAGCCAGGGTCAACCCACCTCAGTCCTGCACCCAGTGCTGCCTGACACACTTGTGGTTTTTGATGGAAAAAAGGAGGAGGGACCTGTAACAGGAGAACTGTTTTGACTGCAAATAATTTAGATTCTCTTCTGAAGGACTGCTTAAGCTTGCAAAGCTAATCTGTGGTGAGATGCTGAGGGTTGTAAATGAGGTGCATGCCCCAGACCTCCTGTGTCCCTCCCTGCTCATTTCCACTGAACCGTGATGCTAATGTAGTACAACACCTCTCTTAATCAATTTGACTTAGCATGGGCTAAAAATTTGCTTAAATGTCCACTTTTTTTTTTTTAATTTGACACTTAACTGGAACTTGAATTATTTCAGAAATTACAGTTAATATCCTCATGATACAATGAGGGTCCAAATGAGGATCCTCAAATATTAATAAAAATTTTGATAGTAATTTCCTTTTCTTCATGAATTTCCATGTGTACATGCTGCCGCTGTGACACACTGTATCCTTCTATAAAAGTTGGCGGTTGTGTACTTGAAGTATCTGTCCAAGGTGCACTTTTGTCTCCTTTTTCCTTCTTCCTTCCCCTTGGAACAGGCTGTGGAATAAGGCATTCATCTGCCACTGTTACAGCTCAGCTGCTGTATCAAGTTTCAATCTGCTCCTTCATTTTTTTTCTTGCTGCCTAAACTAATTTCTTGCCCTATTTGGGTGCATTTCCCTTACCAAAGGTTTCTTTTCTGTCCTTTTGAATAATTTTTTTAACTCAGTTTCAGGTATTTGAGTTATTTCAGAGATCTTCTCCTACCTGAAGGTTCCCTCCTACAAGTTTTGTACAGGGCCTGGCAAAGCTCCCAATTTTCGCTCTCAGAGAAGTGATGGATTGGCCTCCATTCTTTGTAAGGTTTTAGTGTCATTTTAATCCCTAGAAGGTCAGCTTAGGATGTCATTGGCAAGGTGTTTGCTGTTGTCATCATCTGCTTTTTTCCTGGCTGCAGAAGCAGAACTGAGACTGCTTCAGGCCTGCGTGGTTGCTCTTGAACCTCATCCGTCTGTTGAGGCTGGCTCTGCAGTGCTGAAAGAATCCATCTCAGCTCTGTTCCCCGTGGCCAGACTTATCCCAGAGCCTCATAACGCTGTGCTTTTTGCTCCTCTTGTAGCACTAATTCAGCGTGCTGGTGACTTCCTTTGCCTTGGCACAGTCTTGCCATGGCTCTGCCATCACTTAGGCACCACGCCATACCCTGATTTTGTACTGGCAGGCTGGTCCAGGCATTCACCTGCTCTTACATCTTCATTCCTCTTGCCGATGGGAATGCCGTTTGGCGCCAGCTGGTTTTGGCACAGAGGTCTGGCATGACAGCACATGCCCACTGCTGCAGATGCTGGTGAGGACGTAAGTGACCTCTCACACCCTGTTGCTGCTTGACTTTTCTGGTAAATGCCAGGAGAAAGTAATCTTCCTAGGCTTTTATATTTCTGCAGTGTCTGAGGGAGTCTAGACTGAATGAGCTATAAAGCTTGGGTGACCCCTCAGGATCAGCTTCATACACTTGGAGATGGAGCTGAGACCTGCCAAGCTCATTTGACATATCCTTCCATGTGAAACTGCTCTGTCCACATAGTTCAGAACCTGTTATCTCTGTTCTGTCCTACTCAGTGCCGTGGGTGGGAATGCATATTTCCGAAGCATGTTAGAGTATTTGTGTACACATTTGGCATCCTCATTGCTGTGGTAGCTGTGGAGAGGTCAAGAGGTGTGGAAGAGATCAGGAGGCAGAAGCTCATATGTGGTGAAAGAGAGCTTACCTGTATCCAGTGCAACTGGCTCCAGGTGGTCCTACTTGAGCAGAAGCGTTGGACCAAATGACTTCCAGAAGTTCTTTCCAATCTCAGCCGTCCCGTGAAGTCAGAGACTCCCCTGCTGTGGAAGCTGCTCTGCAAGAAGTACAGTTCATGCTTGCGTTGGGAAGACCCTGATGCGGTACAACTCAAATGGAAAGTGGCCTTTTTCCATGTCATGTAGCAGGCCCTCCGTATGGCAGCTGGAGTGTGGGGTGTGCCAGAGTGCTTGGCTGCTGGTGAATGGCCACTGCTGTCCGTTTCTCTACAGGAAAGGACAAAATGTGCGCACTGAGTTGTGCTACAGCTGTCAGCTTTGACTTCCCCTTTCTGGTCTTTGCTCTGAGGAGTCCCTCTAAGGCAGACACGTACCTGGGTTTGATGAGAAGTCCACTGCTCACTTCGGGGAGAATTAGCTAACAATCTTCTGCACGTAAGGTTTTACAATAACTCATTTTGATGGTG